CCATGTCACAATAAAGAGAATTGAGAAGTGACCTCCCAAGACATTGGAGCAAGGTGATTCCCGCCCTTGCCTTAGGCCACACGGACCTCTGATGCTGTGTGTCAGTTCAGCAAGCCCAAACTTCCTCAATAAAGTAGGCCCTTTTGTCAGTGTTCCAGACTGCAAAAAATAAGGGACAGGCATTAAAGTTGGAAAGGCAGAACTCTATTTCAAGACTTGAATTATGAGACATTTTGATTTTATTATTATTAATGTAAAGTTCGTGCAGGGTAAATGTCTGCACAGATGCCATGATATAGCTCATAGTCTTGACTGAAAGAGTGGAGCTTAGCAGGATATTTTGTAGAGCTGATGATGAGTGTTGCTCAAGCCTCCATTTCCCCTCTCAATAAACATGCCCAGCTTTGGGGGCTGCTGACTCCTCCTCACTCTTCCCCCAGTGCAGAAGTCCAGTCCAGACTCTCCACAGGGCCAGCCAGCTGGCACTCTCTAAAACCAGGAGAGGAGGATGTTCTAGTCCTTGCTTAGGGCTGATCAAGCGCACATTCCATGCCTGTTTCGTAAACTCTGTAATTAGCTTTCCTTCCAAATATGATCCCCTAAAACCCTGAGAAACAAAAATAATCCCACTGCATGCTTCTCTCTGGTCTTTAAAATAAGCTAATGTATTTTACTTGCGTAGGTAAGGGAGCATCTTACCTAATTTATTAAAAGATTGAAGAATCTGTGATAACCACCTTTCCCAGGATTTATATCTTTTAAAGAAACACAAGATGAGTCATAGGGCTGGAAGAAAGGTGCAAGATTATGACCTTAGAAAATCTTTCCATCTTTAAAAGTGGGAGTTTTGAAATTCGGCTTAAAAATTAGGTTTCTTGGAAAAAGGAAAAGCCCATTGATAAGGGACTGCTGTATGAACCAAAAGTCTAAACCAAGGAGCAAAGGTCAATCACAAACAGCACTGGGAGCTTGTCTAAATAACTGAGGGGTCGCAGCTGCCTGACACCAAAATCATAAAGAAAGAGATTGAGGGTCACCAAACAGCTGCTAAAGAGCAAATTCAGGAAGATCTGTTTAAACATTAAGTGCTAAATACTTTCCAGGCATTACCATGTGCTTTATATATACCATTTCACTTAAAGTACTCCATCACCAACCATACACGCTTGCTGTAATTTCACCCCGTTTATCATTAATAAAAATTAAGGAATATAAATATTACATAAAAAGACACAGCTCATAAGTACTGCAGCAGGGTCTGGCCTTGAGTGATCCGTGTCCTCAACCACACGTTCATTCCAGGGCTTTCACTCTTCGATCTGACCCCACTTGAAAAAAATCCAGAAACTCTCAGTAAAGACTTTCAAACCGATGGGAGACAGAGAAGAACTCTCAGTCTCTCAAAGTACCTCTGCATGGGAATGTGTTGAGACAATAGGCAGAGGCCACAGGGATGGCTGTGAGTAACCCTTGTGGCTGTCTGGGAAGCAATTATCTCCTCCCACTCTCCCTGATTCCTGACATATTCTAGAACACTGTGCATCTTCCTCCTGTAAAGAATTCTGGGAAGCCCTGCATTGTAGGAATTTGACCACATTGTGTACTTAGAGTATCCTAAAGGTTTTATAAGGAGCTGCATGTCGATGTCAGGATAGAAAGAGAGCGGGAGTCCAGAGCAGCTAGACAGCTGCTGAAGTTGAAGGCAACTTGTCCTGCGTGTCAGTAAACTCAGCATCAACACTGCCTCCATCTAACTGCTCTCAGCTTGCAGTTTCCCATCTTGTGAAGATTTCTATAAAAGAAGTGAATCTTTCGTGTTGGGAGATTTCATCTTGAAAGTATTTCTCTAAGCAATATATTGCCATGTTGAGTAACCAACATTTGTAAGTCTGCGCTAAGTTTTATAGTTTCCCCTCCAGGCTGGACTCTAAACTCAAGTCCTTGAGACAGAAAAAGGTGAAGGTTTAGAGAGAACAAGGAGTGATCAAGAAAGCACTCTGTATGGAGGGCAACCAGAAGGAACTTTGGAGCCTTACCTATCTAACGTTGCCTACTTAATAGAGTGCTAGAACCAGTCCAAGAATGCATGTGCCACGGTATTAACGTGGTACACATTGTATAAAAGTATTAACAAATCATGAATTTGTTAGCTCCTCTCCAGAGGTGAAAAGAATGTAATGGATTCCAACATGAAGTATTTTTTTTTCAAGTTAACCTTGTTTTACCTACATTATTTAAAGAGAGAAAAATTTAAGCAGATACAGTTCTGGTTCAATCCCTTGTTAAAGTGTGTAATCTTAGGAAAATACAATATATAATAATATCCTCTGTCCTCACCTCATTATCTAATGGGTTAATGTGAGTGAAAGAGCTATTATAGAACTATGAAAGTATGCTATCCTTGTCTTCTAACCAATGTCTAATACTCTGATTGTTACTGTAAAAACCGTGATGAAATTCTACAATTACCCATAAATATTTCCCAATGAAGTAAGGTATTACATTCCCTAAAATTAAATGAGTATATTATATTTCCACTCCACATTTACTTTGCAGAGAGTACATTAATGGTATGCCTTAAATGCTGCCCCATAATTATTAATTTAAATCACCTCTCCCGTTACACTGCTAACCTTAAGAATATGAGTTAATGACCCTTTTGGCGATGGTACAGTTTTGTAAAAATCAAATCTAAACCAATAAACATGCTCTATTTAAAGTGACAAAAACAATTTTTCAATATGTTTAACTAGAAACTAAAAACAGGAAGGAAACCAGCTAGGCATAAAACTGATAATTGTTAGGAATAAGATAATTCCTATTTTCAACTTCTTTAAAAATAAATCATTTTGTAATTTAATTAGATTTCCATATTTTAAAAATTGCTAATCAAGCACAGATAACAGATACTAGGCTTGGACAATTTGTTTAAAAAGAATCCACACCATCATGGGGCTTAATCTTTTATCTGCAGTTCAGCTCGAAGTCCTCAGAATGACTTTTATATCAAAGTGCTTTAGTGAATGACAAGAGCAAGACTTGCTTTGTGCTGCTGAAAAGTCATTATTCCATGAAATAACTTTAGCCTGCCAAGATGAGAAAGAATAACAGATGCTGTTTTTGCATTATCTGCATTATTTCCGCCAGTCATCCTCAGACATTTGGGTCAAATTTCTAGAAATTTGTTATTTGGCATTTGACAGAGGAATTATGTGCCCTAACCTCTCAGTCTGACCTTTCTAATTGGCATCCATTTATAATACTTTGCTTTCTGTGGCAATTACCCTTAAGCTGCTTTAAATCTAATGTGTTATTGGTGTACTAGTGCATAATTCAGAATTTTCCAAAGTTAGGATTTTCACCTATGATGAAGAAACTGATAAAAGACAGCTTCTTCAGGTACTACAGTAAATAGATCCTGAAGGTTTTTAAATTTTTTACAACCTGAAGATAGACTGAGAAAAGCTTATTCTGTTCCGATGTATTTATTCATTATTTCATAGTCTGTATGTAGAGTTTCAAAAATTAAATATTACTTTTAAAGATGAATTGTCTGCTTAGCAATACAAATTTTTGTTCCTAAAAACAAATAAATAAAAAAATCAATTATTTTCAATGGTTAAATCAAAGCCATTACTTTATAAATTACTATATTACAATTTGCTATAGCCTAACATCCAGATGAGTAAATGAAACAGGCAAATCATTTTATAATTCTTGTAATGAATGATTATAGATTTTAACAAAGATTTTTCACTCATTTTAGTAAACTGTCATATTACTGTTTTATCATATCTGTATTATAGTTAGGTTATTACATATAACAGGCAATTTATTGAGCACTTACAGTATATGAAGCAGTCCTGTAACTATGATATGAGTGAGCTCATTTAACCCTTGAATAATTACAGAAATTGCTCCAACTCTACAGCGCCCTTCAAAAATTAACAAATTACTTTTAGATGATAAGTAAAAGAAAATTGTAAAAGTCTTCTATCCAGAATCAAATAGAATTCACTGAATTTTTTTCAAAAGTGCACAAGGCAAACATCACAGTGAGTTTCAATTAAAACTTCTCATACACTGTGAAAATTGGAAAGATGACAATTTGGAAATTTGTTAATTAGAATTAACAAATAAATATTAAAGGAGTAACTTTAATAAAAAATGCTTTTTAATAATTATTTAATGAGGAGAAAATATGCCTCCCAAAAAATCATGAATCACTTTTGAAGGTTATGGATACATTCTAATCCAAATAAATAAATGCCCAGCATGGGAAAGCTGAGCTTGACATATTACTTTAAATGTTGATACTTTGTAAATGACTGTCATTTTCATAACAAAGCACAAAAATGCTTTGTAAATTGATTACAAAATATATAGATGATCTAAAGAAACTTTCAATGCAAGATTCATCTTAATAGTGTTAGAAATTCATTGAAATTTAATGTGACAAAAATACAAGTTTAAACTCCTCAAGTGCAAATAAAACATCTCTCTTGAAAGTGTTCTCATCACTAATTTTCTTTCTTTCTCTGTAAATACGAAAATATGTTATGTCTAATTTTTAATATCCTTAACAGGTTGGAAAATTAAACAAGAACTTCATCTACTAAATGCACACACCATCAATTCGCACATATAAATTTAAATTTTATGCAGCATCTTACTGCTATGCTACTTCTCTATACTTGAGTACTTCTAAGGAAAAAAAAAAACCACCAACTTAGAGAAGGCTATTTTCAAATGAACTTACCCTTAAAACTTGCAGATCTGTAATATCCTTTTGAGTAAATAAAATATTTAAATGATTACTTATAGGCACACATAGCAATTCTCCTGGTTATATGTACATATAACTTCACAAATAATAATAAAAAAAATCCTCTCTCAGCAAGTGTCTGTCTTATCTACTGGTTTGGAAAACCACTTCATTCTGCGTTACAAATGTAAAAGCTCCATAACACCTTTAACAGATATAAAGTAGTTCTACTTACACTTGCATGGAGTTTTCCTTTTTTTGACATCGCTAAAAATTTGTTGCTGAAAACTCCTCGTATTCCTACAATCCCCTGAGACACAGCAAATATTTCCAAAATACCTAGGATGACAGAAATCCCAAAATAAAACACAGACTCTTCTATGTATCATATGAAGAATTAAATTTCTACATATTCTTTCTATTCTTTATTACTATGGTTAAAAAAGAAACAGTTTTTAATGCCTTCACTTTGGGTGACTTTCACTGTGTTTTAAAAAGGCTAACATTTATGTTCATTTGAAATGATTACTTTCAATATAAAAAATTTGACCATCTTCATTGGCAATCTCTCTCTCTCTCTCTCTCTCTCTCTCTCTCTCTCTCTCTCTCTCTCTCTCTCTCTTTCTCCTTCTCTCTCTCTCTCTCTTTTCTCCTTCTCCCTCTCTCTGCAAATGATTATGTTGTTTTTACTAAACAAAGGTTTGGTCTTAGTGTCTTTTCGAATTCTGAAGGAATTGGAAAGACATTATTTTCCCCAAATGATTTTTGAAATGATTCTCACTCATTATTTTTTCATACATTACTTTTTTTTTTTATGCTGAGGCTCAAACTCAGGACCATGCACTGGCCAGGCAGGCGCTTCTGCTGCTGAACTGTCTCCCCGGCTAATACATTTCTTTTAATATTAAAGCAAAAGGTCTGTTTTCACAGCTAATATGAACAATTCAAAAGTCTAGCATAACTTATTTGCACAAAAATCCCTTTTCTCTAATCATAACAATTTAAGAGTATATATATTTATACCATGCTTAATCACTTAGTAGTTTATTTAAAGACTATACATAAAAAGTACTGAAAACAAAAGATGATTTGATATTATTGGCTCGGTAAAGTTTATAATGGACTATTCTTTGAGATATCTTGTATTTTGAATTGTTTTCTAAAAAAATTAATGAAAGGGGTCGGGGAGATGGCTCAGTGGAATAAGCACTTCCCTGGCAAGCACAATCCCCGGCCTGAGTTCAATCCCCGGTTCCACCAAAATAAATTAATGAGTCTTTATTACATTATTGTTTGTAGTTTATATTTTATATTTAACAATATCAAGTCAATATCTCTGCTTTCTGTAGTAATTTCAATGTCCATCAGCTGGATGAAGAAAATCATCACAGTTTCATAAAATATTTTAAGAAAATGAAACTCATAGTTACATATAATTGGAAAGCCTATCAGCTTATCATAAATTCATAAGTAATATTACAGAAACATGATAAAAGTATGTTTATTAGTTATTTATATCAAGTAGCAAAAAAAATAAATAAAAAGAACAAAATGATATAGTCACAAGAGCTAAAACATGATCTATCCTAGAAAGGAAAGAGAGAGAAAGGATACCTCAGTATTTCAACATATGCTATTCTAAGCATATATATCACAGCAAGATACTTCACTAAAAAAATTCACTAGGTTGTCTCAAGATTGGAATCTGTTCCTACAGTATTTGAAGTGCATTAAAAATTATTCAATGAAGAAGGAATATTAAAAAGAAGGAATATACATACATATAGATGGATAAACTTAAAGAGCATTTATATTGTACAATGCAAGCTAAACATCTATAATTATAGCAAATACTGCTGCTTATTCAATTTGGTTTCTAGAAATTCTTGATTACAAAGTACAAGGGAACTTGGGAAAAAGGATATAACTGAAAACCAGGACTTTGTGAAAAATATTCTTATCCCAGAGGAAATAAAATACATCTCACAAAATCTTTAAATAACACCTTAATTGTTTTAATAAAAAAAATTAAAAGAAACTATTTTTGCTTTCAGGAAGATACCATCATAGAAATCTGTGTTATAGTCTTGTCCTTTGAAATGTTTTTACAATAGATTTTGCTATAAAAATTACTTGTGATACACATCCACACATTTAGAGGTGTTGTCATTTTATCTAATAGCAACAAAGCACACAGAATTTATAAAGCAAAGCATTTACCTTTGGAAGTTCAGTTACAAAGATGTAATGTTATAATAATATCATTTAAATATAACTGCAACATGTGATACAAAGTTATATTTCTATCAGAATTATAAATGATACTGAGAACATCAGTAATGATTTTAGATATGTGGGAGATCAGGGATGTGATTAAGAATACTACATAAATGTGTTAAAGAAGAGCATGGCACATTGTCTATGCAGGGGAATGATCAACACCAAAGAGATGTGTGTTTCCTCCAATTCACCCATAGCTCCAAACTGGTAGTACTTTATTCCATTGTACAGAGAAACTATCTGCCTTTTTACATTCAAATCAATGGTATATTAAAGAATAAATATATGGTAGTATTAAAATATAATTCTGGGCCCAGGAGATGGCTCAGGAGAATAAGCGCTTGCCTGGCAAGTGCAAGGGCCTGAGTTCAATCCCCAGTTCCACCAATAAATAAATAAGTAAATAAATAAATAAAATATAATTCTTCCAAATGTATGTGTTTGAAGACTAACTTTCAAGATGTTGAGAAAGGAGGACTTTATAAACGCTTAATAAAAATATCATTGCTTTGTGTAACTATTGCTTTCTGACCACTAATATATTCTATTTTAAAAGAAAGACCCCATTTAATCAGCATCTCAACACACTGTATGTTGTGTGTATGTTATGTGTAGCTTGCACTGAAATAAACTTTAAATATGAAGATTAAATAATATATGTTAAAGTGTTATTTTATTACATATAAAATGATTCTGTTTGAGATATTCCAGAATCAAAATACTCCTTTACATACATATACCATCCTATCTAATTTAATGAAGAATGGAAGAGGAAAGATGAAATTAGATTAAAAAAAATCTTTTTCCACACTGGTACCTTTCATACTGATCTTTGAAATCACAAGGTAACTATAACCTGATCTTAAGATCACAATATCTTGTCTTCTAGAGTCTACTAGGTCAGATTCTGCAAGCCTCGCAATTCACCTTTCTGCTCCTGTCCCCAAGAGATCACATTCCCAAACTCATCTATCTTGTCTGTTTCACAGTGCTAAATCTACTAACTCATCAAAGACTTAAATCCACATATATTAAGCACACATACCAAAATCCCAGGGAACATTTCACTAACATTATCATTCAAAATTTTTGTGATCGCTGGACCCTTATCATTAGGAGTCGGAAATAACAAATTTGATGAAAATTTACAGTTCACCATATGGATGTGGAAAACAAAGTTTGCCTCACAGATCACAGGGACAGACATGACTGTCTCTATGCTGAACTGTCTTCTTGGAGCTTCCCCACTCCCTCTCTTCTCTCTCCCTGTCAGGATGTCCCATGTGTTCTCAGGTGGGGCTTCCTTGCTTTTGCCACCCTCTCTTGCTGGGTGGGATGTAAATTGATCTACACCAAATCACCAGTGACTGTGCACTATCTTTCAATGAAGTTTATATTTAACACATTAAAAGAAGGGGACAATATTTAAAAGAAGGAAGTAGGCTCTTTTGGTAGACTTTCAGGGTTGACACAAAGGTTGAAGGAAGTAGAATTTTCTGGTGCTGCTCGGACCATACACACTGTTCAATCCACTTTCATAGGGATAGACACAGCTTATGGAGTAATTCAACACATATCTATATCTCTTACTTAATCCTTTTATTTTCAACGAGGCTATATTATAGACTTGGTGAATAAAATCCAGAAAATGCAGACATGGTATGTATTGAAGCTTTCAACAACCCATCTGAACATTTCCAAAGAAAAATATTTTACAACTGAACTTTCTCCATATGTATCCACATGGCAATAGATATGCTGTGGAAGTTATCAAATCTGAAACTGGAAATATCCAGTGTATGTAACAGCTTTTGCTGATTAAATTAATAACCGAAAATTTCTACTTGAATTTTTCCACACAGTACATGCAGATTCTGGATTCTGGTTTATCTAGGCTTGGAGGACTGTGTAAAGTCACTTTGATTCCAGAGATGATAAATTCAGATTTTTAAAAATTAGAGCACTTGTTTGGTCAAAATATGTAACTATTGGTTTCTTAAGCAAATTACATTAGTGGAATTTTTATTTTTTATATAAATGCTTTATGTAGTCATAGCCTTAGACTTTTTCTCCTTGCATTAACTATTACTTGATTTCTTACTCTTCAATGGCCCAAGAGAAGTCAATACAACATTGAACTGAAACTAAACTTGAAAACAAATGAACTAAGGCAAATGGTTGAATCATGCTATCTGTCTTGTCCATCTTTCTTTATCTTTCCTCAGTATTTCCTCACAATAATGGTTTGCATGCAAGGAGATTGACTTTACTTTCCATCTTCAAAACTGTAAGTTTCTATTATGTAAAAGAAACTAAAAGTAAGCTAAACAACATAGCTAAGCTAATTATCTTTCAAAGCTCATGATCACAGCATGCATTGCATGCTAAAACTGGAAAATATTCACAACTTACAAAAGCATTTATTGCCAAGTAAGAATTGAGAAAAAAATACACGGTTATCTGTTATATATGGGAAAAAATTTCATTATTTATCTTAAAAGAACCTGTTAGAATGCAGTTTCACAGCAAAGTTTTGACCATTTCTGAAGTAGCTGACTCAGAGCAGATAGTAGAATTAGATGATGTAGTAAAAAGTAATGTGTCCTCTGTGGTTTTGATCCAACTCTTGTGAGACTTAGAGAAATATTTCCTCATATACTTTACACAGTGGTCCATGTCTGACACCTTATTTTACCAAATCTCAGGAAACAATAAAGTGCTGCTGTCAAAGAGGTAAATGACCAATTGCAACTAGCAAACCGCTGCTTTCCTTTCAGAGCTATGTACAAATACAGACTCATTTCAAACTTCAAAATTGTAGCCATCTTACTAAGCAACAATCTGTAAATTCTTAACTGAATAATGATAGCAAAGCAAGTATACTGACATAAATATTTGAATGATGTGTTCTTCTATGAGAAAAACTTAGAGAAGATAAAATAAAACAAAACAACAGATGCTAGCATAAAAGGAGGCAAAACAGCACGCTTAGTAAGGTAAGACTTGTGTACTGGGCACAAGAATGAATGAATGAATGAAAAAAAGCAAGTCATGTAAAAGGCGCAGATAAAACTCTGAAGGGATGTTTTAAATTAGAAAAAATAAGAAAAGAGCTAGTTACATTACATTTTATTTGGGCGGTGTTTAGGAAACATTTCTGTTCTTTTGTAAATGTTGCCCACCATGGAGTTTAAAATAAATTGTACCTGGGGAATAACAGGCAGTGATCAATTGTTTAGCTGAATGCATTCTCAGCTGACCTCCCCTTTCTTTTGTCTTTCTGTGACTTCCACTGCTGCTAAGGCCTACGTGGCAAGACTCTGACTCCTGTGGTGTCTTTGTAGAGAAAAGGGTAAACTCCTGGGGATGTGCCTTGCTTCCAGGAATTTCCTAACACACCGCAATCCACTCCAGATACATTGGTTCAGCACCCTGGGCTCCAAACTGCTGCTTGCTGTAGGCTACTTTTGGGTTTCAACTTGGGTACACAAAGGTTATCCTCAGTTGGTGCTGATTGTCTAAATAAACTCCAAAAGGAAGGAAAAAGAAAAAGTATTTCTGGAAGAAAATAAAAAAAGAGTGAAGACTGGCACAAGTGGAGGATAAACTCTGATGTTCAATAGAAGGAAATTGAATGGGACACAATTGGAGAAATGGGAATGGTGAAACAGACTTAAGTCTCAGGCCCCTGAAATCTCAGAGAATTCATCTTTGCACCAACAAACCAGCCTGCCCTTTTCTCATGGACAGTGAACTTGGAAATAGGCTTTCTCAGAGGTGCATGCAGGCCTCAGGGTTCACTGGGGTGCACAGGGCCAGCTCTTGGGGGTGGGCTCCATGACACCTCCACACATGCTCTTCCAGCCTGAGCCGCACACACCAAAGAACCAAGCAGGCCCAGGGGGCAGGAGGGGAACAGCTACTGTCCAGGCCCAAACTGTCAGGTCCCACACAACCTGCCCTCAGAACACCCAGAGGAGGTTGGTTAGCCCTGTCACTCCTTCTTCAACGTTTGCACCCTCAAACCCTCATCAAAGGACCCCGACAGGTTGTTAGCCTGCCCGACACCGAAGCCCAGCGCTGATCAGAGCTTGGATGAGCAGGAACCTTCGGGCCATTCGGTCTGGGTCTCGGACTGAGCAAGTTCGTACCACCTGGGAGCGACCAGGCCGACTCCTGGGCCGGAAAAAGGTGCGCAGTGCTAACTCCAGGCCAACTCTGCGCTCCCTGGCTGCCACTTAAGCCCGACTGTGGTTTTATCTGGCTAAAAACGCTACGGAAACCAAGGAAAGAAAAGCTTCGCTGAGGTCGCGCGGGTCCCTGGCACATCCCCAAATCACCTTTCCCCCAGGTGCCAAGAAGAAGTCAAGGAAATGCAGAGGCGTCTGCCGTGTTACGGAAAGAGGTGAGACAAAGGAGGAAAAGAGAAAGCGCACTCTCGAGAGTCCCGTGATAAGAATAAAAACTTGATCTGCAATCATCCCTGCACTATTTGAAACCTCACCAAACTGAACCCCTTCTGTATGTCTTTTAAAATGAGGAACTGTCTTCTAATTGTCCTAGAGGACCAAGAGCTGGTCACATTCCCAACGTGGTATAGTCATGAGCCCAAGATACCAAATGTCGTTAAACCCAACGTCAGAGTTAATAATTCCAGTGTCCATCTCTTCTCTAAATGTATCCAGTTTCCCAAATCACGGCATTTCTCTCTCTCTCTCTCTCTCTCTCTCTCTCTCTCTCTCTCTCTCTCTCTCTCTCT